AGAATTGTTGATTTTTAGGGTTAGGGTTGAAGAATTAGGGTTAGGGTTTCGAGATCAGAATAAGGAAAAGGAGAAAAGGGATGGCTTTTTGCGTGTGAACTTTTGGGGCGAGGTCGATTACGGAGAGGAAATTGAGAGGAAATTGGATTCTGCGATGGGGGGGAGCCGCGGAGAGAGTTCGGGTGTTTCGCGGTTAATCGTCAGGTAATGTGTGCCTGCAGGTGGATATGACTTATGAGGTATCAAATATGAGTTGTGGTAGCTGACACCATCACTTACAAAAGACGGGTTTTAATGACTCACCATATAATTTTTAAGTGTTGAGTTATGATGTCCCTATTCTTTTGTGAATAGTACTAGTAATGTCAAAGTAGTAGTATAAGGAGAATAGTACAATGAACATTTTTTCATCAAAATATACATTTTCAGGGTTTTTAATCTTAGTCCCTTACATCTTTGAAAATTATTGGTCCCTCAATTCTTGAAATTTACATATTAGTCCCCTGACTCCTATAGAGACTTGCAAAATGGCCCATTTATTAGTTTTCCAATTAAAAAAAGCGTTATTAAGGTTGGGTTAACTCCTATAATCGACGAACTATCCCTCTCTTTAATAGGGGTAGCAAACTTTATCCATATCCGAAGAAATATCTGTAACCATATCCGTTAGGATACAGATATGGTTACTCAAATCTATAACCGATAAGATATGGTTATGGATATGGTTTTGCAGTGAAATATCTGGAACCGTATTCGAAATATCCAAATACATATTAGTCATATTGTTATAAATGGTTTTAGTCTATTAGATTATGGATATGAGGTTAATTTTGACAATCAAGATATCTAATCTTAACTTTTCAGATATAATGAACATATTAATGAACTCTTTTGTATCACATGAACTGTATTTTTTTCTACAATATCTAGGTTTCTCATATCCGTTTTATATCCACATGCATATCCGCTTATATATCCGCACGTATATCTGTATCCGTATTCGATTTTAGCAGATATGGACATGAATTTTCCTTACCGAAGTATATCTATCCGTATCCGTATCGTATCCGTATCGTATCCGTATCTGAAATGAGTAAGCGGATATAGATACGGTAAGCATCATATCCGAGCAGTATCCAAACTGAATGCACCCCTACTCTTTAATATTTTTAACATTTTGTGGAACTCAATTTTTATTAGGGTTCTTTTTTTTAACTATTAGAGAAGAATTTACCTGTGTTTGAGTTTCTTAAGTAGGTATTTGGTTTAAACCCCTTAAGAAATGAGTTTAGAAATATAATAGAGGGTAAAATGATCATTTTTCTCCAATTCTTAGATCTGATTAAATATTCCCCTTAAATCTAAGGATGTGTATGGTATTTTTCAAAGCTATTTTTAAGTGGTACAACTTCGGTACGAATACTTTGTTTCTAGTTTTGGCAAAAGTTAAACCCAAATTGAACTAGTTCTTTCTAGTTCAAAATATAGCTCCTAAACATATTTTTTTCGTGGATCAACTCTTATATGTTTTAACGTTAGTCTAGTCAAGATAAAGCTAGGCTAGCCCAATCCTATTTTGAAGTAGCCAAACACACCCTAACATATGTTGACTAGGAGGACCATTTTGCAAGACCCTAAATAATTTGAAGAACTAATATGCAATTATTGAAGATTTAAGAGACTAATATCTAAAATTCCTTTTTGAAATATTGATTATTGTAAATTAATGACTTTTCCTTTTGGCTAAGGAAGATTATTGGTTGTGACAAGTTCGGGCCAAAGTAGAATAATTTCTCTAGTAGGATAATTTTATCTCTTCAGGATACTTTGATTGGGGCAAAGAGAAATAAGTTGGGATAATGAGACAATTTAAAGTTTTAATTTGACAATTCATTAGAGATAATTGATGATTTGACACCTTAATTAAAATATGATATTTATCTATTAATTAATTCTAAATTAATTTATCTCACTGGTTTAATATATTATTTAGTATGTTACTATAATATACATTATTTTATTTTATACTAAAATATAATATGTTATACGATAATTACTAATTAATATTATTATATTATATTATATTATATTATAATAGT